TATTGGTACTGACATATAGATAGGTAAGTAGAATATAAAATGATAGGAGGTATGGAAGAAGTTGCTCTGCTTAGCTGGCTATAATGCAGAGTAGTGGAGTAGTAGCCAGAGGGAAATGGAAAAGGCGGCCTGAAAAAGATTGTTCAGGACCTTGAATACCATGCTAAAGTGTTATTTTATAAAGTGGGAGGGAGGGGGGCAATTATTTAATATATTGAGTTATTGTGAAGATATTTCTTCTAAGTATATCATATAAACTCCAAAGGAACTCTGAAAAGTAGGCATTAATTATCCTATTTTACATATGAGGCAGTGAACTTGGGGAACATGCATTCATTCTACATTATTGAGCACCTGCTGTGTGCCAGGCACTATGCTGAGCCGCGGGAATACAAGGAATTATAATCTAATAGTCTCATGGGGGAGAGATGAATAAATCAACAATTATAAGTTGTTATGATAAAGGCAAATATACAGTAATATAGGAGTAAAAAGGGCATTTGTCTAAATCTACAAAGTTAGGGAAGGCTTCCTGAGGTGGGGTGAACTTGAGCTGAGTTTGCTGGAACAAATAAATTACATGAATTGCCCAGAATTATTCAAGTAGCATTCAACTAGCAAGTGATTTAGCTAGAACTTGGACACAAATCCACTGCATCCAATTCTGTGCCCTTTCCCCTACCCTAAGGATGAATCTTTGGTCCTTAATATTGAGCTCCATTGATATTCTCAAGCACAAGTTTACCTGTTGTATTTTGAGGACAGAGATCCCATCTTTTTCTTTTTAGATCCTCACCCAAGAATATATATATATATATTTTTTCTATTTATCTTCAGATAGAGTGGAAGGGATAGAGAGAGAAACATCAATGTGAAAGAGACACATCGATTGGTTGCCTCTTATATGACCCCAACCAGGTCAGGGGACCAACCGTAACTAAGGTACGTGCCTTTGACCAGAACTGAACCTGAGACTTTGGTCCACGGGCTGACGTTCTAACTGCTAAGCCAAACCAGCCAGGGCCCATCTTTTTCTTTTTAAACCCATTAATTTTCTCCTTTTAGAGTGAATTTCTTGATGAGTTTAAAAGGGAGTTAATCAGGCTCCGCAAAGGTATAGTGTTACCCGACTGGTGGAATTAACTCTGTTAAAGTGACCTTATATAAGAGGTCCTTTTATCTGTTTTTCTCTGTTTGGAGGTACCATAATTTAGTTGCAATACTGTAACATTCACCAAATACAGACACCATTTTACAATAACTTGTATGTTTCCTCTCCCCCAACTCAAACAACGTTTTCTTCTCTTGGTTTCTAGGGCATTACTGCTCCTTCTCATCTCCTTGGCTGGTTTCTTCTCATTTCTCTGACCTCTCAACTTTGGAGGGGACTATTCTCTGTATTTATTCATTTTTTTTTTTTTTTATCCTCACCCAAAGACATTTTTGCATTTATCTTCAGATAGAGCGGGAGGGAGAGAGGGAGGAAAAGAGAGAGAAACATCAATGTGAGAGAGACACATAGACTAGTTGCCACACACACGACCCCAACTGGGCCTGGAGACAAACTGCAACCGAGGTACGTGCCCTTAGCGGGAACTGAACCTGGGACTCTCTGGTCCCCTGGGTCAACGCTCCAACCGCTGAGCCAAACCGGCCAAGGCTGTATTTATTCTTCAGGTAGTTTTATCTAGTCTCATAGCTTTAAAAATCCTTCTCTTTCAACAACTCTTGATGTTTTATTATCAGCTCTAACCTTTCCTGACCTCCCCACTAGTATTTTTCATAGACATCTCAAATTTAATATGTCCAAAACCAAACTCCTGATCTTCCAGACCTGTTCCCCCATCTCAGTAAATGACACATCCTTGTTTCTAGTTTATCAGGTCATGATCTTGGAGTCATCACTGATTCCTCTTTTTGTCTCTCACAATGAACATCATATCCATCAGCTTACCTTTCATACTAAGTCTGGGTAATATGTGGTCAGTAAGCTAATCAATGGTTTATTAATGCCATGCTCTAATATATAATAAAATATTATTTGTGTTTCCAGACTTTATGATCCTGTGTATTCAGATTTCAGTTACTTCCCACAACCTTTACTTCCCACTGGATGTCCTAAGTTGCCATCTTCTATTGCCAGGACTATTGCAGTAGCCTCCTAACTAGTCACCTTGCTTCTGCTCTTGGTCTCTTACAATCTAATCTCAACACAACAATTGGAGTGATCCTTTAAAACTTAAAATCCTGGTCAGATTCACAATAAACCAATTCAGAATCTTCCATTGGCTCCCATCTCACTCAGAGTAAAATCCAGAGACCTTGCCATGGCTAGCAAGGCCCTAAGTGTTCTGGCCCCTGTCTCTCTCTAACTTCCATCCCAACTCCTCTCCACCTCACCAACTGCGTCAGGCTTGCTCCCACCTTAAGGCTTTGCACCTGCTGGTCCCTATACCTGCAGAGGCTATTTGTCCAAAGAGCTATTAGGTTGGTTCCCTTGCTCTGTTTTGGACTTTGCTCAAAATCCTTTGATCTACCAATAAAATCACACACACACACACACACACACACACACACACACCCCTCAGCCACACTCCTTATGACTCTGGCCCCATTTTATGTTTCTCCCTGTGCCAGAAGATAAGATCCAGGAGAGCAGGGATTATGTTTTGTTCACTTATACATTCCCAGCACTCAGAACAGGCCTAACACAGAGTAGATGTTCAAACATTATTTACTGAATGAATGAAAAGACGTCTGGATCTAAACTACTGAATGAGAAGTACATATTACCATAAAATCAGATTAAACATAATTATGCACAAGAAGTTCTGATATTAACAATGATTCCCTCAAAAGGAATTGCTGAAAATTTTTAAACAAGTGTGGTTTTAAAAGAAAATGTCTCCAATGTAGAAGAGTTGAGATTTCATATATTCCTAAATTCTTCCAATTATGCTAATATTTTTCTGAGTGTCCGTGATGGTGAGGACTGAAGTGCTGGCATTCTCACATTGCAGTCTATTCTTAGGTTCTGCCTTTGCACTTGTTCAATTACAAAGCTATTATGAAATAAACTGATAAATGGCCTTGCTTTCCTCCCAATCTGCTCTATAACAATCTGCTGATCATTACTTACTACTGAAATAACTTCTCTTTGAGTTTTTTCTGTTCAGACTCGACCCCATACTTGTAGGGGAAGGGTTATGTTCTGCTCCCTTGGTGTAGTACCCAGTGGAGCTTCCTCATTAGGATGCAAGCTAAAAACACCATGATACTTCCTATAGAGCACTATTCAACTTCTCTTTCTTCCCACTCCCCAGCCAGCTTTTAACCACTGACTTGGCACAAGGACTGTGGCCAGAGGATTTCAGTGTTTGGAAACTGACAATGGAGCTGTTGAGTGTAATGATGATCCACGTCCTTAAACCATGAAGACTAAAGAAAGATGAGGCCAACCTTGAGATGTAATTGTTTTAAAATTGGCAACATGTTGTCTTTAAATTTCTTTCTAACATGTGGAAAGTATGGGGACCCTGTTCAGTCACAACTTGAATCTAAGAAAATTCAACAAGCTAGCATTATTAAAAAGAAAGCCCTTCTTTAAAGAGTTATGAGTAGCAAATTACTTTATTTAACACGTTTAACAAATATTTACAGAGTATCTACCTACCAAGATACTCTGCTGATTCTATACCAGATTCTTCTTTTCTATTTCAATTTTAAAAAGAAAACAAAGAGAAAGTTATAAAAAAGGGTAAATCTTGAGCATGGTTTAGGTATAAAGGGACAAATAGACAGAAAAGGATACCACTTCACAATATAGAATAAGTTTAAATTTTAGAACCCCAAATTGAGTCTTATATGATACCCTCCTTCTTAGCCCTTAAGAGATTAATGCTAGGCCCTGGCCAGTTTGACTCAGCAGTTAGAGCATCGGCCCATGGACCAGAGAGTCCCAGGTTCGGTTGCTGCTAAGGGCATGTGCCTTGCTTGCAGTTTCTCCGTGGGTGGCAACCAGTTGATGTGTCTCTCTTACATCGATGTTTCTCTCTGTCTCCTTCTCCCTCTCTCCCTCCCACTCAATCTGAAGATAAATGCAGAAATGTCCTTGGGTGAGGATAAAAAAGAGAGAGAGAGAGAGAGAGAGAGAGATTAATGCTAGGAACATCCTGTGAGCCAACATTTTCTTCTTTATCTTAGGTCCGGTCCCCCAGCTCTGAATGGTGCCACTAAGCAAGTATCAATATGTCTAAGTTTGTGCAAAAGATGAAACACTGCAATCTATTTTCTAGCAAGAGAAAAGAGAGGAAGAGGCCCTCACAAGTTATACTTGTTATGAGAGGGAGAAACTTAAGGGAAAGGAGGGTGAGTTATAAATTTGAAGGTAAGACTAAGAAAATTGAAGATGACAGAAACTTTAAGTCAGTGAAAAAAATCTTAAAATCCCAGGAATCCTTTAGTTCATTGAATCCCAGAAGTCGAAGTAACCAGTCCCAGTTCACGTCTGACTGTGGCAAAATGGGTTGTAACCCATCCTGGCTCAGAGCTTTTCTCTCTTTTGTTATTAAGGGTAATATTATGGGCTAAGTGCACTGAGAAAGTATTTTCCCTGAGATTTTAATATTGTGAGTGATTCAAAGTGATATTAAATAAGTTCCCCTAAGAATTCTTAATGTTTCTCTGGATGCATGGTTACACTAAGAGAAAACAAGAGTTTTTCTTAAGACCTGCAGCAGCTTGTCGATGGACCATCTTTAGGATTAGAAATTTTCTTATGTGAACATAATGATTCAGGGGGAAATTGTTAAAACTGAAACCAAGCATAAAGAAGCAAAAGTATTTCAGTGAACCTCCTGCATTTTAGTTCAACTCTGGCAGCAAGAAAACAAAACCACATAATCTAAGGCTCACACCCAACTCTCTGAAGCCGCATATCTGCTGGTTCCTGTGTGGTTTGCCTACAGACTGCAGGACTGACTGGGGGTAGTTGGGAGGAGGGAGTAAGAAGCAGGGAGGAGGAGACACTATTAATGGATCTGTGAGCATGTAACCCTCTTTTTAGTGTGGTAGTTGGAAGATAGCACAAGGTGGATCTGTACTCTGAAATGCATTAATTTGGATGTGAATTCATCTTCCTTCTTGCAAGAGAGGATTCTAATAACTCACTGTCAAAGCCAAGATATAGACTCAACCTCTTCTCTTCTGAAAGGTATGTCATTGTACGTCAGTTCACATACTCTAGACACCTTGAACAGTTTTATAATTTGCAGAATGCTCTCTCTGAGTCAAATCTAATTAAAATGAATCCCATGGGCTCTCCAAATATTGCTTTTAATATTTTGGTCCATTAGCTAAGGTCTCTAAACCTTTTGCTGTAGCAATGTCTGTGGTAATAGGATTTGACTTCTATCTAGGAGAAGACTTGTTCCTTACCCAGCCCATTATACAAAAAAAAAAAAACTCCACTAACTGGCTTCTGAACCAGTCTCATAGAAAGACTTTAGGCCCTGGGATTACAAAGATGAAATTTCACTCCACCATAGTCAACATTTAATTTAAACTAGGGCGTGGATGTGAGTGGTTGAACAGCAATGAATGAACACTGGTACTCTGAGGTCAGGATTTCTCTCATTGCTCACATTTCTACTTCTGTTAGTATTTATGTTACCTTTACAAAGAACTCCAGTTTGGGTTCCTTTACAAAATGAAAAATTTATGTTGATAAGGATTTTGAAAGAATATTGTCTATCTTTGTCTCTTTATTAACAGACATCTGTCTTTAGTTCAGGCATTAAGTCTTAAGACAACTCTATGCTTTATGCTCCACCTGTTCCTGAACAAACCTGAATGAGGATTGAATACATCTACCAAGGATTTTACTAACTTAAAAATATTGTATCTATATACTCGAAATTAGGCCTTGTTAATGAAGCATATGCTACTTAATTTGCACATTACTGAAAATAAGCATCCCCAGATAAATTAAGAGGGAAAATATTTATGACCTAAAAATCCAATGAGAAAGATTGCATGTTGCTCATGTTATGTCATTCGAGAATGGGAAACCTCAAGTTGAAGACTCTTGTTCTATACAACTACATTTATCATAGATTGTTTAGCTCTTTAGTGGGTTCTCCCTTTTATCCTTCTGATTGGTTTCAGAAAGAACATTTAGTGTAAATATATTCTGCTTTAATAAGCCAGTATTGTTTATAAAAGTTCATATTTATAAAATAATTTTGACGTGATTTTCTTTACAAAAGGACCCATTACTAAATAAAGAACACTATGTAAATAGTTATCTAGGTGCATTCAAATTTCAAGTTTTAAAAATTCTGATTTGTATTCTTTTTGAGAACTTTTTATTTATTTATTTATTCATTTTTAAAGAGAGACAGCCCTATATTATTAAATAAAAGTATCTTTTTAGATTGAACTTGGAATGTCTCCCATGTAGTAAACTGTAATCTTATTATCCCTAAATTGTAATAGATTTTATCTTTTTTAAATGACTTTACTGAAGCATAGGGGAAGGAGGTGATCGATTTGTTCAATGTGAAGAAATATCTCTATTGCTAATATAATATCCTTTTGAATATTTTCCACATCTTAAGCCCTGATGAAAATCCCCCCCCCTTTTTTATTTCAATTATTCTGTGTCTACCTTATAAAGATATTATAAGAATAAATGAGTTAACATAGATATGAAGTGCCTTAGGAAAATGACACTATGAAAATGCAAAATTTTATCATTATTTCTTTGAATCTTGATCATTTTCTTCGCACCTCTTATACAAAGTATATCTCGCTTACTGCCTAAAGCCATATCTTTGAGAATTGTTGCCTTCTGGAAGAGCTGAAAACAACCCTAGTTTCCACATATTTATTGATTCTCAGCGAATAATATCCACTGGTGTTGGTGACTTGTAGGGTTCATGCCTAAATTTGAGCAGAACTTGCCTCTTTTCCTGGATTAAGAAAAGTCTACAATTATTCAAAAATGTGACATTAAGTATGATCCCATCAGGATTTCTTAAACAAGTAATAGTAGTTGCTTCTGGATTAGTTCTAAGGACAGAGTCTTCATTTTTTGTGCCCTCATAAAAAAATTCAAAACTTGGTCAAGAATCTTCATGACCTAAATTATTTGAATCAAAGGATAGGGTGGATTGACCCCCATTTTGTCCATCTCAAGTATTTACCCAGCATATCTTGATCTGTAAAGAAACAACACAGCCTCATGTCTTTCTCTCTCTCCACTTTACAATCTTCAGGAAAGCCTGGTACATAAATAACCAATTATAAACATTTATTGAACATTTACTATGTTAGGCACTTCAACAATGTCAATACCAGTTTTCAATAAGCTTGAGCCAATAGGAATTTAGTAAATTTTTTTAAAGTTTTCTTTTTAAATATGAGTTCAAAGGCAAACATTTTAGAGAATTAAAAAAACAAAAAACTATTACTAAGTATATGAAAATAAGTCTTACATGTTCTCCAAAGATGTAAGACATGTATCTTATGAAGGAAGTAAAGAAAATGTTCAAAATTAAAGTTGAAATATTAGTACAATGAATACCTTTATAATCATCTGGATTCAATGCTATGTTTGTTCCATGTGTATGTATTTCTTTCTGATTTGTAAGTTACAGATGAAATGACATTTCACCCCTAAATAATTCAGTACACATCTAAGAATAAGGACATTTTCCTCTATTACCGCAATACCACTGTTATACAGAAGAAAATGAACAGTTATTCCTTAATATCTAGGCCATATCTAACTTTTGCCATTTGTCCCTCAAATGTCTTCCATCACTTAAAAAAAAAAAAAAGGGATTTTTAAAAAGGAAAGCACATTTTTGCATTTGTGTATTATGTCTTTTTATTTGACATTGAATTTTTTTTAAAGGTTAGATCATTTATCTTGCAGAATGTTCCACGTTCTGGATTTGTTGTTGCCTCGTGGTGTCATTTAATTTCTTTCTTTACTCTGTGTATTTTCTGTAAGCTCCAAGTTAGAACTAGAGCATTGATTAGATTTTGATTGAGCATTTGTTACAAGATACTCCATGTTGCATCTCATCAGGAGGCACAGAATGCCACGTTGTCCCTCTATTTGTGATGCTCACTTTGATCATGGCTCAAGGCAGCAATCTCACTCCAGGGATCCCTCTATTGCAAAGGTACTTTTTTCTCCTTTGCAATTAAAAAGTAATCCGAAGAGGTGACACTTTAGCACAGTGGTAATATCCTACTTCTGAACAAACTTCACCAATGACTATAGGTGACAATCCTTGCCTAAATCGACTATTCCATTAGGGGTCATATACATTTTAGTACACTTTGAAGAAGGATTAAACATACGAATTCATCATTATCAGCAGCAACAGCAGATACTTATATATTTGTAAATATTTTTTCATTTTTAAAATTTGTATTTCTTGATTGGTTTTAGAGAGAAAGGAAAGGAGAGAGAGAAACGTTGATTTTTTTGTCTCACTTATTTATTTTTATTTATTTTTTGTTTATCCTCATCCAAGGATAATTTTTCCATTGATTTTTTTAGAGAGAGTGGAAGGGAGAGAGAAAAGGGGAGAGTGAGAGAGACAGAGAGAAAAAAACATCGATGAGAGAGAGACATATGCATTGGCTGCCTCCCACACATGCTGCGACCAGGGCCAGGGATTGATCCTGCAGCCCAGGTACATGCCCTTGACCGGGAATTAAACCCATGACCCTTTGGTGTGCAGGCTGATGCTCCAACCACTGAGCGACACTGGCAGGGCTGTTTTACTTATTTATACATTCATTGGTTGGTTCTTATATGTGCCCTGACTGGGAATCTAACCCACAACCTTGGCATTTGGGGATGATGCCCCTCCCATTTGAGCTACCTGGCCAGGGCAACAGCAGATATTTATTGAGTGTATAAGTTCAGGTAAGAACAACAACAACAATAATAAGTAACATTTACTGAATGCTTGCTGTGAAGCCAGACAGTCTAGGCTTGAGGCCAATCCTTCAGTTACTAACTGGGCTAACTGGGACATGTATTACTTAGTCTTTCTGTGCCTTGGTTTCTTAAACTATCAAATGGGAGTAATAATGGCACCTATCTCAGTATATTACTTTGAAAATTAAATAGTTTATATGTACAAAGTTCCTAAAACAGTGTCTGTTTTTTTGCCAAGCACTGGTCTGACACTTTACAAGTATTAACTCATTTGCTTCTCATAATGGCACAATGAAGTGCTAATATTATCTTTCCTTCACAAGTGAGGAGACTGAGGTACAGAGAGATTAGGTAACTTGCACAAGGTCACTTATCTAGTAGGTAGTAGAGTCCAGATATGAAGCCAGGCAGTGTGATTCCAGAGCGTTCTCTGTCACATGTAATGAGAAGTGACACAAATGAAATAGTGGAAGTCAGTACCAGGATCCCCATATCCCAACCATCACCACTACCCAGGTTTTAAGTTAAGTTATTGAAAATCTGGAAGTGTTGCTACCAAACTATAATTTTGGTTTTGTTTATCTGAATTATAGCACTCTATTAAGCATAGATGAGTTTATTTATTGCATTTATAAGCATAAGGCTCTTTATAAGAAACTTTAAATATAAAAGATAATACTAAGAACTGAAAAATGTAAAACAATAAAGGAATAGGAAGGAAAAAACTGAAAGGAATAATAGGAAAGGGGAGTTAGGAGACCTCAGAGCCTCTGGGCACAAGATGATACTTTGATATAGTCAATAGAAAAAAAAAAAAATCCCTCTCATTTTTTTACATTTCTGTACTGTATAAAATTTTACCACTAAAACACAAGAGTATAGCCATTGTCAGATTTATAAAAGACCACATTGGATTTCTTTATGGAACAATAGATGAGTCTTGTTAGAGGTAACTTCCCTAATTGGTTATTTCATACACTCAGACATTCTGTAAATCAGTCTATGGCTTCTGAAGCATAACTGTACCCAGAAAAGGCCTTCCAGGCTGGCATCTGTCCCTACCCCTTCATTAGCATTACTAAAGGGTTCCAGCGCTGTCTGACTTGCTCCTTCCATTGCCATCACAGAAAACTCAAGTGTAATTTTCTAAAGAGAACTAAAAATAAATGAGAAAAAAATTCAACATTAATAATGTTTTCATGCATTTCTAACACAGTCATTGCTAAATTGGTTCTGCCTTTTTATGTTTT